AGAGCAATCCTGCCAGGATGGGCCCGAGACATAGGTGCCTGGAATGATGTGAGGAACCGCAGACACTCTCTGTAGCCCAGACCTCCCATTCCTTGTCACTGAGCCTGGAAGCCCACAGCCAGACCTCATTCCGCCAGCATTAATGAGCACCTGCCATTTTCCAGGCATCATGCTAAGAAATGGGCTTAATTCCTCTGGGTTATTTGTTACCATTTCTAAGCATTTTCTTCTAAAAACACAAATGGCCCCTGAGAAGAGCAGTGCAGCCCAGATTGAAAGGGGGGGGGGGGGCGGGTCTTGTCTTGTAAGTCATCAGAGAAAGACTGGATATCTTTAGTGAAAGGGGACATAAATAAAGTTCAGAGGTGACTGCAGAACTAAGGAGCAAGACAGCAACAGCCCGGCCTTTTCTGGTGGTGAGTTTCTAGGGCTACATCTACTCCTTCCTTTATCCTGCCACCAAGACAGACACACCTATTGTCCCTATAAGCAACAGCAGCCCCCACAAATGTAGCTGGTGAGGCTAACCGGGTTCAGTGGGAGAGAGCAGCCAGTGGCTGGGCGGCCTTGGCCCCGTGGCAGGGGGGCTGGGCCTGCCTTTCACCATCCCCAGGCTGAGGACGCCCTGAACCAGTGCCTACTCGCTCCCCAACAAGTCCGGGGCTTGGAGTTCAGGTAATTAGGCCCTTGGCAATCTCACCTGAGCCTGCCAATAAAACTGAGACAATCACCCTCAGCCCCTGTTCAGGAGGGAGAGAGGAAAGGTTGGGGGGTGGGGGAGGAAAGGAAAGAAAACTTTCTTTCTGTGCTAAATTCAGTGTTTAGCAACCAGAGGAAGAAGGCCATTCATCTAGCATCCATTCAAAAACCCCACACCCGCTTCATACCCAGGCTTGTCCCCTCCTGCCACAGAACCCTGGCCTCTGTCAGCCACCATCATCCAGGGTAACAGGGGGCACCTTGAGGGGCTACAACCTGAACAAGAGCCAGGCAGTGGGGACCTACGCTTGCAGAGATAGGCTTTCCCCAGGGAGGCTCCTTCCGTGGCAGTGGAGGGACAGAGGAGTCCCCCACCCCAGGAGCCAGAGCCACCGTCCAAAAAAAGTCTAGAAGGATGCTCCAGAGTGTTCAAGTGCAGCTGAGTGACTTCATTGTACCCTGCCTTATGTCACTCCTGCAGTGAGGACCTTTTTTTAAAACGTCTCTACATTGGCATAGTGCCCAGCAGATACCTGGCACACAGACAGGACTTTCTTTTCCCCCAAATAACAAACTTTAATACCTTCTTGTATATGATCACACAGCTATGGAATACCTGGCCCTTTTTACTCCCCACATCACATCTATATCTTATATCCTTATGCTCCCTCCTAAGAGGGGAAGGGTCTTTTCTGTCACATGGTGGAGTGGGGGAGAATATTGTTCAACAATATGAATCGCCACTTATGGAATGCTTGCAAGGGGTCTAGCGGAAGGACTCTGTGAGGATTAACTAACTTAATGCTTCCTAAGGGATAGGTTCTATTACTATCCCAATTTACAAACAACCAAACAGGCTAAGAAAGAAATTGAGAAACTTGCCCAAGGTCACACTGAAGTTTTAATGAGTATTATTTAATTGAACTGAAGGCTCCCATTTATTTCCGTTAAGGGTCGGACTCATTATCTGGTGGTTGGTGGGTTCCAACCCGGCATGCCACTGTGTGCTGGCAGCCCAGAGCCCAGAGCCCAGAGCTCAGAGCCCGGGGCCTGCTTCAAACTCTGTGTGTGTTTGTGTGTGTGTGTGTGTGTGTCTCTCTCTCTCTCTCTGCCCCTCCCTGCTCACACCCTGTCTCTATCAAAAATGAATAAACATTAAAAAATTAATAAATAAATACAAATAGAAAGAACTAATAGGAAGGAGGGGGAGGCAATTTGTGCCCAAAGACTTTTATCCAGTCTCACCAGCAGGCAAGCAGGGGGTGCCCCCCGGCCGACGAGCTCTGCTACTTGCCCTTCTCCTTGGGTGCAACAAGTCCAGCTAACCTGAAAGGGTTTGAGGGCCGTCTCTGGAGTGGCTGCACTCCTTCAGTCTCGGGGGTCCTGGAAGCTTTCAAGGATCCCAAATTCTCCCACTGACTCTGCCCTTTCCTAACGCGGCCCCTGTCGAACAGGACTAGGGTTTCCAGCTCCTGACTGTCCTCGCCTGGGGAGAGGTCTCAACGGATGGGGAGGGGGTGCATCATGGCAGGGTCCTCCGGAGCTGAGCCTGACGGCCTGTAGGTCTCCCGCTTCCTTCCCGCCACCCCCGCAGGCTGAGCTGTGCCTCCCGCGGGGAAACAAGGGCACTGCAGTCAATACTGGGGGTGCCGCACGCCCAAGGCCGCGGACCTGGCGGCGTCTCCGGGCCCCAGGCAGGAACCCGAGGAGACCCCTGCCACCTCCCGGTGCACGCGCAGCAGAAGGCGCCGCAGAAAGGCCAGGGGCGGGCGCTCCTCAGCTAGTCGGCGCCGCTCCCGGCCTCTCGCTTACTGACAGGCTCTAAGGCCAGAGGCCCGAGCCGCTGGCTAATTTTTCACGCCCCCCAGACCGCCTTCCTAGGTGACGCTAGAGTCTGTGCGGTTCCTTTAAAGGCTGCGGGTTCCGTTCCTCTTTCCTTTTCCACTGGATGCCAAAATATGCAAATCCGGGGACCGGAATCGGCAGCCAAATCGAGGAGAAGGGGCGCGGCCGGCGCGTCACCGGATCCGCTCCTTGTATGGCTCTTCCCGGCTTGGCCCGCCGCCCCGCGACCCTCCCTGCAGCCGCCCCGGCCCCTCCCGCGCCCAGCCGGGCTCACACTGCCGCCCACGCCCCCGGGCCGGCCGCTCGCCCCCCTAGGGAGGGAGCCGGGGGCGGGAGGCGCTGCATGCCCTGATTCCGGCCGGAGCCGGGGACCGCTGCAGAGCGCTCTCCCTCCCAGCGCCGCGCAGGCGGAGGAGAGCCCGGGGGCGCAGTGCCTCCCTTGTAGAGGTGTGGGGAGCCGGGCGGGAGCGGCGGCAGGGGCGGGGTGAGGGGGCTCGCGGGCGGCGGGAATCCCTCCTTTCCTAAGAACCGGAGAAGATCCGGGGGAGGCCGGGCCCTCCCGCCCCCAGTTCTCCGCCGCGCGGAGGGGAGGGGAGCGAGGTTGTCATCCACCCCCACCACGATGTGCAGCTCGGGAGTTCCTCCCACACGTCCCCGGCCCGCGAGGCCCTCCCACGGAGCGAGGCCCGGGGATCCTCTCTTCCTCCTTGTCAGCACTCCCACTCCCCCTGAGAAATGCACGTTCCCCCAACCCCAGCTCCCCAGCGGGGGGGGGGCGGGGGCACGGGATTCACCGCGCCCACGCGGCCACAGGGGAGGGAATCCTCCCACGCCAAGCCGGTGCCGCTGTGATTCGGGGTCGCTCCCCCACGCTCCTCTCCTCCCGCTCTCCCGCGGCCCGGCCGGAGCAGGCCTCTGGGAACGTAGCAGCCGCCCCCGGGATCTGCTGCCGCTCTGGGAGGTGACAGCGTTCCGGTCGGCAAACTGGAGGCCCTTGACTGCAGGGCGCCGGCAGGCAGCAATGGGGACAGCCCTGTGGAAGGCGAGGGGGAGGGTACAGAGAGACTAGAGGAGACGGTTCAGAGATTGTGGGTTCGGCAGGCTCCTGCTGCAACTCAGTGGCGGGCCCTTCGCAGGCAGCAATAGACAGGGACTGTGCCTGGGCCTGCTGGGCCCTCCTGCCATCCTGCGGCCAAAGCGGGTGCTTTGGAACCGTTGGGGGATTATCACGGATTCGGTGCACGTGTTTCCTGTTCCCTCAACTCCATTCCTACTTCTCCAACACCCAAACCGCACATCCTCGACCCCAAAAGTGCGGGGCACTCGCCTCGCGCGCAGCCGCTCTGCAGCCACCAAGCTCCCGGCCGCGGCGGCGCCCAGCTAGGAGTCAGCTCAGGGTCAGGGGCCCGGGGAGCGCGGGGTGGGGGCGGAGAATCAGAGTGAGGGCAGCTCGCAAGTGATCCGGATGCTGGATCAGCGATCCCTGGCACGCTGGAATCCTCCTCAGAGGGGCGCGCTCCCTTTCTCTCAGTCTCAGCCAGGGTCCTAGATGCGAGACGCTACGTGCGGCGGGACCCGGGTCGAAGCGCACACCTTCCGGGTTCCCCAGAAGTTCCCAGGTTGCAAAGGGACCTCGCCGGCTGTTTCCAATTCCCTCTCTCCCTGCTCGGGGTGTTGGGGGCCACTTGCAAACAACTCCACACACACCCCCGCCCCCCGCTGTACAAGCGCGCTCACCTCGAGCGCACCTAAAATAAACACACTGGCGGTTATTGCTTTTTCAACCCTGCGCCGCGCGCTCTACGCTTTGCGTTCAGTTGCTTCCCTCTTTCCTCTCTCCTCTCGAATTTTCCTTCTTTCTTCTCTTCTATTTCTTTCTCTAATTTTTTTAAGATCCGCGAGCGTTGCGGGCGCCGCACGTTGGCTGCGGCCCGCTTCCTGCTTTCTAATGTTCCATTGTGAGGAGCTTCCATTGTGACGTCGCGCCCCTTCGGCTGGGCTTTGTCTGTCCATATATGGGCAGCTACGTCACGGAGCTTTCCCGGGGCTCAGATAAATAGGCTGGTGGAGTTCCCTGGCTGGGAGCTTTTGGGCAGCAGTGAGCTTGCTAGGAAGCGGCGGGGCTGGTGGTGGTGGTGGTAGCAGCGGCAGCAGCAGCGGCAGAGGCGGCGGCGGCGGCAGTGGCGGCGGTGGCGGTGGCGGATCGGGGGGCGGGGGGGCCGCCGGCGCGCGTCTGTTTGTGAGATCAATACAGAGGCCGCTTCCAACCCCTCGGGCCGAGACTCCCCCAGCCCAGGCCCACCCCACCCCCCGCACACGCCCCCCCACCCCAGCCTCTTACGGCACCAGCTGAGGCACCCAGGAGGATTACCCCCCTTTGCCCTCTCTCCCACCCACCCCCAAAAGAGAAGATCCCCTCCCCTGGCCCACCCCTTCCCCTCTTCCCTCCCCCTCCCCCCGAACTTTCCCTCTCGCATGCTTTTCCCCTGCACCACGGATCTCCTCTCCGATGCCGCTTGCCTGGAAGCTGCGTTAGGAGCGAGCGGCGGCGGTGGCGGCGGTGGCGGCGGCGGCAGCTCGGGAGTGCTATGACCGGCAAACTCGCCGAGAAGCTGCCGGTGACCATGAGCAGTTTGCTAAACCAACTGCCTGACAATCTGTACCCCGAGGAGATCCCCAGCGCGCTCAACCTCTTCTCCGGCAGCAGCGACTCGGTAGCCCATTACAATCAGATGGCTACAGGTAAGGGCGGCGGGGAGGCGGCGAGGCAGCGAGGAAGGAAAGGGAGAGAGAAGAGGAGGAGGGAACGAGCTACCGATGGATGGATGGGTGGATGGATGGATGGATGGTGGATGGATGGATGGATGGTGGATGGAGAGATGGGGGGCGCGCTGGGAATTTTCCGGGGGGCGAGTTGCTTTTCCCACCCACTCCTCCCGCCCTCCCAGATCGGGAAGGCTCGGTTGGCGACGCCACGATAGAGGCTTCGGTTCTCCCGGGTGGGGGCAGCCGCCGACCAGAGGGAGGTAGGTGCGAGCGGCTCCGGGGTTCTCCACTTAGGGGGCGCGATCGCCAGGCTGAGCGCAAGGCGTGGTGCTATCGCCCCCTTTCCCGGGAGGAGCCCAGCGTCCCTTTCACCCGCGCTCTCCCCCCCCTTACTCCCTCAGCCTCCCACCCGGGATGGAGCCATGTGCGGCGTGGAGTCCCCGCGGTGGGAGAGGTACTGCGACGCTGCCTTTCCGGGGCGTTCAGCAAAGCCGTGGGGGTGTGGGGACGGCGGGGAGAGGGAGGGGGTCCACCCGAGCGGGGGCCGTCACGGGGGGCGATTCTTTGGCCTTGGAGCTTGGGAAGAGCGGCCACTCCCGCCATAGAGACATGGGCCGGTTTTCCGCCGCCCTCCACCCTCTCTAGCTAGGCTGGGCTTTCCCCCTCCAGCAAGAGCCGAAAGCTCCTTCAGGCCTGGAGAAGGCTGGGGCCCTGGAAGCCTGCGGGAGAGCTCGCTTTGCGGACAGAACCCCTCTGCGCGCCGAGGACAAAGCGTCGGAGCGCTCCGGGTCCGCGACCCGGGCGCGGTGCGCACTGGGGGCTTCGTCGGGGCAGGAAAGGCGCGGCGTCCCGGCGCGGACAGGGCGAGGGGAAGAGGCCGAGTTGTGTGCGCTAAAGAGTGAGAGCCCAGTGCGCTCCGGGTCTGAAACTACCTGTAGCTGCAGCTACCTGCCCGCCCCACCTCGGAAACAACAACAATGCTTCTCGCGCGCGCGCGTGTGTGCGTGTGGTACGTGAGTGTGTGCGCGGCGTGTGCGGTGTGTGTGCGGCAGCCACTCCACACCCCGATCCGTAGTATTTTGCTGTATCCAGGTTGCGCCCGGGAGCGCGGCACCGCCCGCTTTGCGCCGGGGCGCAGCTTTCCTCCTACCCTATGCGCAGATCACTCCACCCGGCCGCACCCTCCACACCTGAGCAAGGACCCGGGCGCCCGGGTCCGGGAGCCGGCTCGGCTTCACTCACCCCTCCCCTCTCTTCCCCGCTCTCCGCAGAGAATGTGATGGACATCGGTCTGACCAACGAGAAGCCCAACCCGGAACTCTCTTATTCCGGCTCCTTCCAGCCAGCCCCCGGCAACAAGACCGTGACCTACTTGGGAAAGTTCGCCTTCGACTCCCCTTCCAACTGGTGTCAGGACAACATCATTAGCCTCATGAGCGCCGGCATCTTGGGAGTGCCCCCGGCCTCAGGGGCACTCAGCACGCAGACCTCCACGGCCAGCATGGTGCAGCCACCGCAGGGCGACGTGGAGGCCATGTATCCGGCGCTGCCCCCCTATTCTAACTGCAGTGATCTCTACTCGGAGCCTGTGTCTTTCCACGACCCCCAGGGCAACCCTGGGCTCGCCTATTCCCCCCAGGATTACCAATCGGCCAAACCGGCCTTGGACAGCAATCTCTTCCCCATGATTCCTGACTACAACCTCTACCACCATCCCAACGACATGGGCTCCATTCCGGAGCACAAGCCCTTCCAGGGCATGGACCCCATCCGGGTCAATCCGCCCCCTATTACCCCTCTGGAGACCATCAAGGCATTCAAAGACAAGCAGATCCACCCGGGCTTTGGCAGCCTGCCCCAGCCGCCGCTCACGCTCAAGCCCATCCGGCCCCGCAAGTATCCCAACCGACCCAGCAAGACCCCGCTCCACGAGCGGCCCCACGCATGCCCGGCGGAGGGCTGCGACCGCCGTTTCAGCCGCTCGGACGAGCTGACCCGGCACCTGCGCATCCACACGGGCCACAAGCCCTTCCAATGCCGGATTTGCATGCGGAGCTTCAGTCGCAGCGACCACCTTACCACTCACATCCGCACGCATACGGGCGAGAAGCCCTTTGCCTGCGAGTTCTGCGGGCGCAAGTTTGCGCGCAGCGACGAGCGCAAGCGCCACGCCAAGATCCACCTCAAGCAAAAGGAGAAGAAGGCGGAGAAGGGGGGTGCGCCCTCTGCGTCCTCGGCGCCCCCCGTGTCCCTGGCCCCTGTGGTCACCACCTGCGCCTGAGGCTCGGGCCCCCAGATCCCCACTTTTCCCCTCCAAGTGTCTCCCAGCTGCTTGCCTGAAAGCAGCGGGAAAGCTAGCCACGGAGGCGCAGGGGCCGCGCCCTGGCCTCTCCATGGACGTAAGGTCCCTTGTTCCCCTTCGATGTCCCCCGTTTCCACCCTTTCACACCGGCCAACGGTCGGGGGCCAGGGCAGGAGGCGCCCTCCCTTCGCTGCTCCCCCCTTAACCAAGGCGTGGGGGCGGAAAGGTGGCGTCTAGCCCGCTTTGTTCAGTTCGGATCGTCTTGATCCTGGGGCCGCTGGGCCGCGCCAAGGACCTGCGGGGGACTGAAGGCGGGGCCCGTCCAAGCCTCGCCCGACCCAAGCACCTCACGGTTCCCCCCACGTCTCCCTCGGTTCCCCCTCGAAGACCCGAGAGGGGGAGGGGGTAAGGAGCGCACCAAAGCGCAGAGCTTGCTGCCCGCCGCACGCACGCGCGCTTGCGTGCGGGGATGCGCGCGAGTGTGCGTGCTCGCGTGAGTGTTATGTGTGCGTGTGTGTGTGAGAGAGACTCTTGAGCTGAGCTGGGCTGTGTCCACCCCAAACTCTTCCCCACATCGGGTCCCCAGGCCGCTGGAGGAATGTCTCAGGTTGGGGGCCTGCACGTGGCAGGATGAGACGGTCTTCCATCTGCTCGGAAATGTTTCTTAGAGAAATGCCTCGGATGCCGCCGCCGCGGTGCTGCTACCGCTGTTTAGGGTTTGGCCCCTCAGCACCCCTCCTTTTCCGAGCGCTTCCCTCTTAGGCCTCAGGGCAGTTTGATCTGCGGGGAGAAGGAGCAGCCATCACTAAACCTGCCTTTTCACAAATAGATTTCCCCAGCCCCACTTTTTAAAATCTATGTTCCTGAGTTTGCCCTCTGCCCTTTCTCCCGCTCCACTCCCTTCTAAGCCTTCTCCCATCTCTTTCCAAATCTTCTTCCAGAAAGGCAGGCCTCAACCAGCCACTCATTTTACCATCTTTTTGTTTTCTCTCACTCATACCCATTTCTCCTCCCTCTCCCCCCCCACCTCATTGATGGGAAAGCAGACTCGTGCTTCATCCTTTGCCATCCCCGACACAATAGGTAGAATTCAGATCTATGTACATGCGGGGGGGCATGTATGTAGGTGTATATACACACATATATACATATATAGAACATACATACACACAATAAAATCTCTAAGGTACGTGGCTATCCAGTGCAGTGCACCGGCATAAAGAGAGTTTGTAGGTATATAAGCTTTAAATGATTTATTTTTTATGAAAAACTTAACTGATGAGATTATATCTACATAGGTGTGTGTATGTATATATGCACATATGTATGTATGTATGTATGTATGCCCACATTTACACACATGCACACGTCTCTGTCCAAATCTTCCTCAGAGATCTGGGCATTTTTGCATTAATCCATGTTCGGAATGAGGCATATCTTTTCCATACCCCACTCTCACCTACTCCCCGCCCTACCTCACCTCTTCTCAGGCACCCCCTCCTCCCCAGCACTTCCCCCGCACAGGGGTGACTCTTTTGAAGTGGAGTCGTAGGGAAGGTTGCTCTCTGACACAGCTTCCAGCACAGTCTTGACTGAATGTACTGTTCCCTCTTAGCGTTATTTCTCCTGTGGCCACTGAGCTGCCCAGAGAGAAGGGACAAAGGTCTGGAGTTTACAGAATGTCTGTTTTTAAAGTCACTTTATGCGTCTCCCACTTTTTTTAAGCACCTGGTTTTTGTTTTGTTTCGTTTTGTTTGTTTTTGGGGTTTGTTTTTGTTTTTGTTTTTGGGTTTTTGTTTTCTTTGGTGGTGGATAAATAATACTAAAAGGAGTCTAGTGAAAGGGACAAAAAAGAAAATCAAAGAGCAGGGGGCTTGTGAATTTCCAGGTACTTGGACTTTTTGTAGAAGGAAAGAGAAGAGGACGAAGTTTGCCAGGAGGGCCCATATTTTTTCAGCTGAAGGGTAAAATCTTTCTTTGCAGAGACAGTATTTTGCTGAATACTTTTTATAATGTGATGATTATTAAAAACAAAAATTTTGGTCACTTCAAAGCTGGAAGGAGGAATCAAATATCCTTTAATATTTTTTCCTTGCTCCTTCTGGTTTATGCATGCTACTGCATGATCATCTGAGTTTTCCTTTGTTTTAATAAAACTGTTCTCAGACATTTAAGCTTAAACTAAGAGAAAAATAACTTTGTTGCCAAAAGGTTGTGCTATCCAGATTTTTTTATATGTCTGCATGTTTTAAAAAACAACAAGAGAAAATGCACTCTAACTTATGTGAACTGAGAGAAAAAAATCAGGTTTTAAACAGGAAAACCTATGGGGAATGATATTTTTTGAAAGACTTTTGTATAAAGTTGAGTACTTAGAAAAAGACAAACCAGATGTAATATATTTTGTGGATGTTTTTATTTCTTGGATTTATAGTACCTTATACTAAGGTTAAAAAAATATGCTTGATATTGTGAAAAGGTGAAATTCTTCACCAATATTTCATTTGCTCCTTTGTCACATTGTTATGCCAATATAATATAGTTAATGAAAACAGCATTTTTAAAACCGAAATATTGAAATGGTGTAATGTTGTACCATTTGCACTGTGAGCAAATGCTAATACAGTAAATATATTGTGTTTGCTGACAATCAGCCGGCCTATAAATCTCCTTATTTTATTTCTTGTTTTCATAGTATAAAGTTTTGGTTTGGCCTGTTTTTTGGTCTCGTTTTGTTTTTGGCTGATGGTTGGTTTGGTAGGTTCCTATGCCTGGCTTTTGCTGTTCTTGCTCTGTAAACTCAATGTAAAACAAGGAATTTGGCATTGCTCGAAGTTGGTCAGAATTTTGCACGCTCTGGTGTTTCAAATCCAGTGTTGAGTGTTTACTGTGGTTCTGGGGGAATAGGAGTCTCCTCCACTCTTCTGGGAGAGTCTCAAACTGCCAGAGAGGTTAGGCAGATCAGATAAACTCATGGGAATCAAGACGAGTGACTGGAACCTTCTAGAACCCTTATCCCTGGTTTCTAATGGATATTGAGGGTGGAAGGGAGGGGTCCTCTGGTTTATGCTCCCTCTCTCTCTCTCTCTCTCTCTCTCTCTCTCTCTGTAACAGGGGGCACTAGAAGGTTTAAGGTCTCTCTCTCTCTCTCCCTCTCTGTCTCTCTCTCTCCTCTCTCTCTCTCTCTCTCTCTCTCTCTCTCTCGGTAACAGGGGGCACCAGAACAGGACCCTGCAGACTCACAACGGCCACCCTGAATAGTGCTCTTGCTAAAGACTTTGAAGCCTGAAAAACAGGTGGAGACTTGATAGGGGTTCTTTAAGGTTGGCAAGATAACCAGAGAGATTGGAGGCTCTATTGTGGTCAGATAATTGGGGAAAATCAGATTTAAAAATTATACAACTTCAATCCCGCTTGGACAGGACTCTCCAGGCCTCACTGTTTGTAGCTGCCTGAGAAAGATGGTCTTGGCTGAAAAAGCTGCTCTTATGAACTGCGCAGGGATCCGATGCTTCCGAGAGAAGAAAGAACATTTGGGATTTGGAGAACATACAGGGAATATTTATATAGCATTAACCCCTCACATCCTACAACTTCTGTCTCCAATAAAAGTGATGCTTCCCTTACTCGATGAGCTTTCTTCCCCAGAAACTTCCCCTTTCATAACTGAGTGTATTTGCCAGCCCTAGAACTTTCTCTGGTTCTCTTTCTTTGTGTGTCCCCGTCTCCACCCTGCTCCTTCACCTTATTTCCCATTAGTCTTTAGAATTCTCTCTCCTCCTGAGGCTTATTCTAGAGCAGTCTTTGGACAGATCAGTCCTTTCTTCTCCCTTTCTTCCTATCTGCCCTCTAAACCACTCACTCACTTGGGCTTCTCTGTCATGTGTTTCACATATCATCTGCCTCAGTGAAGCTTAGGGGCTTGGTGACTGATACTGGGCTATGTAAATGCAGCACCACATTGCAACTGGGGGACAGTGTCTCCATCCCTGATGAAACCATACAGTGACAGGAACTGCTTTTGCCTCCCCAGTCAGGCCCATCACACTGAAAAATGTGGGTGGTATTTCTGGTTGGCTGTAGTTACCAAGAAGTTCAGGGCAGACCGGGGTGGAGGTGGTGGGCTGTGGCCTTAGAAAAGAATGTTTTTGAAGTGAGAGATCAATAAGGAGAATGCAGTATGGAATCTTAAAGTTTCTCACCCACACAATTCCAGGTCACTGGCTGCCATCTTGAATTCCCTTCTCTCACCTCACGAAACTTCAGAATTCCAAACTGCAACTACAGCTGCAAGGAGGTATCCTTTGTTAACAAAGGACATCCAAGATGGCTGAAAAGTCCTAATGATTGAGCATATAATCCACTTCTATGCTAAACTAGATATTTCCTTTCTAGATTTCCATGTGTTTTTCAAATGCATATTATCAGAGGAAGATAGCGTCACTGGGTGTCTTCATAGTTAGCATCCAGCCCCACCTGCACCCTCTCCAATCACATCAGGCCTTTAGAGTTACACTTTCGTCAACAGTGTACTATGCTGCATGATTAATAAACTCACTTCCCATTGGTGCATATTACTCAACCCAACCTGGTTCAACCACTGGGTTAATTGACAATATGGCAGCCCGCCTGGCTGGCACCAGCCCTGTATGGTGTAATCTCTGATTCATACTTTGTAGCTAGATAAGACTGTCCCAGATAGCATCACACCAGCAACCCAACCTGCCTGGGTTTTGTAAATATGGGGAGAGGAAACTCAGGAAACTTAGGGATGAAGTGAGGAGATGGCAGAGGGAAAGGCTTAGCTATGGAGCTATCATGAGAAGGAATCAATGTAAGCTTTGCCTGGAGCAAAATCAAGGGTAAAGGTGTAGAAGAGGTAGAAGCACAACTCCATCCGAAGTAACCTCTATGTCTCCCTGTCTCTGTCTCTCTCTCTGTCACACACACACACACACACACACACACACACACACCCTCTGGAGTGGTTTACTGAAGGCAATGACTCTTTGCAAAATTGTACCCAGTGAACTAGGTTGGGGTACAAATGAGATACTTGGTGACAAATGGGGCAAAGAATGGAGCATGTTTTTAAATGGTGGTGGCAGTAGTGATGAATGTGTATAAGTGTGTGTCTATATATTATTCTCAAGTATATAAAAAGGAATAGCAAGGTGGATTCTGATAATAGCAAGGTGTTAGTTTATGGCCCGTCGCTACTAATCCCCTTTTACTAATCCAAAATTTGCCTGCCATAGGTGAGGGGGTTGTGAGCTGCCCTTCCCTGGCCTTATTTGGCTCCCCTGGTGTCATGGGATAATAAGCATAGGGGAAGTAGGAGACCTCTATGTGCCCCAAAGACTAGATGTCATACTGGCAAAATCTTAATGACTGGGGGGAAATGACTTTCTAAAAGGTACCATGGGGTTTTCAAAATAGGTCATAATCCTAAATCTATCCCAAGTGGTCCTTTTTGAGAAAACCCACTCTGT